TCCCTCCCTCCCTCCCTCCCTCCCTCCCTCCCTTTTGTACATTCTGAGCAAGAATGTTTTCTGCCACATTTCTTAGCAATATATGGACAACAATGTTTTGCTCAGCTAAATGCAGTCCACCAAGCAATAATTTTTTTGTGTCTTAATGTAGTATTTGGGAAAGAAAGAGTTCAGGAAATCTTTTCTAGGGTTCAAGTCATGACTCCATTCCATTTAACAGATCATCCATTTTGCAGCTTATTGTTTAACATAGCTTTTTCCAAGCTGATGCCTTCCTGCCTACCAGATGTATATGAACCCAGTGCTATAATCCTCAGCCGGTGTTGGGTGGAATTTAATCTCAAGACCTAAGGATAATAATCATAGGGTATTCCCACTTCAAAAATTGGACAAAGTGTTTTGATTCCTCACATGAGCACGGCTTCCTTCTGCTATCTTTTTTTCAGGATCATGTGGAAGCATAAAAAAGAAAAGTGTAGCTGGTCTAATATAGAGCAGGGAGAATATACGCTTGCACAGGATCCAAAATATCTCTTCTGAATCATTTTTTTCTAAATATACTTAGCCTTAAGACATCGGCTTTATGCAATCTGTAAAGCCTTCCTCCCACCAATAACATATACTTCAAGCTACTTTCCCCCTTTCCCACTTCTTAGATAATTGATTCAGTCAAGGCTGTTACATTAGCTTTGCTGGCTATTTGCCTGACCTATATAAATTTTAAAGAGTTTTGGAGGAAAGGCTAACAGTTTAGCTAAACCTAAGAGGCACACGTGAACTTTGTTAGAGAATACTGAATGAATGACAAGGCAAACCTAACATTGTTTCTTTGAGAGTAAGTGAAGAAAGATACAGTTAGCAGATTAGCACTGAGGTGGTCTTGCCAGAAGCATTTGCAAGCTCATGACCTGGTCATCCTCCTTTACTAGACATTTCCAGGATTTTTAATGTTGTGCTTTTCAATGCAATGTGAGCAAAATGTGTGTGTGATTATTGTAGTAGAGCTACAAGGAGCTTAATATTTGAAACTTACAGTCTTTCTTAGGCCAAAGAGCAATAATTAGTGTAGACTAGACTAAAAGGAAGAGATGTGGTGGCTCAGTGGCTAAGACACTGAGCTTGTTGATCAGAAAGGTTGGCAGTTTGGCAGTTCGAATCCCTAGTGCCATGTAACGGAGTGAGCTCCCGTTACTTGTCCCAGCTTCTGCCAACCTAGCAATTTGAAAGCACATAAAAATGCAAGTAAAAAAATAGCAACTACTTTGTTGGGATGGGAAGGTAACAGCGGTCCGTGCGCCTTTGGTGTTTAGTCATGCCAGCCACATGACTATGGAGACGTTTTCGGACAGCGCTGGCTCTTTGACTTTGAAATGGAGATGAGCACATATGTGTGGGGGGAACCTTTACATTTACCTTTTTAGTCTAAAAGGAAAAAAAAGAATCAAGTGGGACCAGAACAATGCAATGGGTGGGACCAAGGCAAACCCTGTATTTGATTTAATTTGCATTTAAATTTATAAAAACTTTCTAATGAATGGTTTATTTTTTTTTAAAGTAAATGAAATATATACAATTCAATTATAATAAATAAAGGCTCCTCACATGTTTAATAATTTCCACCTTCAGTCCTATTAAATCCCTCGACACCCGAAGCAATATAAGAAGAAGTAAAGAAGAAGTCATATTAAAAACAACAGTTCAGTGAGGATTTGGCAGAAGTATTTGAGGTTTCTGAATACTATAAGCCTTTAGGTTGTGAATGACAAGGGGCAATCATAGGCATGTCTACATATAGTAATTTAAAATAGCTACCTGAGCTTAATTCCTGATGGCTATATTCATGCAGTTTCTTGTTATTACCTACTAGAAGGATGTCAAAACAGACATGTCAAAAAGGTCAATGACATAATCAATGCTATGTCATATGCAATCAATGACAATCAACTTTTTGTTGAAGGAAAAAAAGGGTTGGAGCTAAAATTATATTATCCTGACTTTAATGATCCTCCCACCCCCAATGGGACCTCTCTTCTGAATCAACTGGCAAGGGGGAAATGCTATTTGGCTGTATTCTTGTGCAGAAACAGGATTGCAGATCATTTATTGCACTGTTTTTCCTTTGAGCAAAGATTTATTTTCTGGATTCACTTGTAAGGTTAAAGAAATGTATATTCCACTAGTTTTAATGTTTAAAGTATAAATGTTAGGCAATGACTAGGTTGGTGCAAATCAACCTCCATTTGATTTGGATTGAAGATTTGAGATTCAAAGAGGCATGACTTGAGATTTAATTTGATTTCAGACGTGATTTTGGAAAAATGAGTCCTCTGTTGGGGCAAGCATTAAAACATCTACGGCTACTTCGTTTGGGAAGGAAAAACAGAATGAATTAGGAAAGAGACCTTATAGACATTATTAACCTGGTTCCAGCTTGATATCTTTTTTTTATTTTTTTATTGAAATTTTTTTTAAAAAGCTTTTACAAATATTTACCTCCCCTCCCCTGCCC